GGAGTATGAAAATAACAATCTGACCTTCCTTGTATGTGCAAACATATGAGACTGCATGTTGTAGCCTAATTCAGTTCTGGAGGGGTAGATCTGAAGATGCTGTTTCTGAGCTGCACATCATTTGATCCTACTACCAGAGAGGTGGATTTGACTAGGAAAATGAGCAACACAGGCATAATTTGAAATACACCCCATCCAGAAAGTAATTGGAGTAAATTTCAATTACTATCATCAGTAGACTTACAAAAAATGTTAGTGCATAGAATGACCTGTGCAATTCATCCAATGGCATCTTAACAGCAATTCAGAAATGATGTGTATTAATAAAGGGAGTGTTAGGAAATGTTCAAAATGTACTTTATAATACTGACTCTACTCTTCATTTTTATTAATTGTATGGGCAAGCTACAAATGGCTATATACGGCTATATGGGATTTAAGTTTTGCAATGAGATCCATGTTATAAAGAGTGAGTTCATAATAAACAAGAAAGCCAGAATGTAGTAGTTTACATTAGGTGTGGCCTTAAAACAGAAGAGCCACATACTAGAAGCACAGGTCAGATCTTTAGCCTCTGATAAGTTCTCTTTGCCTCAGCGGAGCAGCACAAATGGACCTTAGAGAGGCTCCTAACAATTTCCCCAGTGTTTATGGTAGCTCCTCCCCATTCCCTTTAGCACAGGGGGCATGCTGGGGCCAGCTGGAGGTTTGGAAAAGGTATTCTGGGGTGGGAAACGGCATGAGGGGAACCTTGAGTGTTATGCTGATCCTCAAATGACACAATGGTCCCAGCAAGTCAGGAACACAAAGCTACAGATAATGTTTATTGATACAATAATCTATGAATATCTCAGGTGCCTATACCATTTGGCACATCTCACTATAATAGTCTTTGAAGCTTCCAATATCTCACATCTGTCACAAATGCAATTTTGTCTTTCATGTAATTTAAAAAAAAAATTCTGACCCAATAGCCAGAGCCAAATTACATGTTTACTTTTGCCCCTTACCATCCTTGTAGCTCTACCCTCCAAACAGAAGCCTTCTGTACTTTGACTTTTAAGTTATGCCTTCCTTTTTGATTAGTTCATAGAATATTACCAGTGCCAGAAAAAGAAAAATCTTTAACATATACCTGAAATTTTCTTAGGATCCCAGAACTTACATGAAGAAAATAAGTTACCTATTTTTCAATTTGGCTACTGTGTCAAAAGTTAAGGGCATGGTTCTACCGAAATTTACTCTAATATAAAACAGAAGTAACGCTAATGAGGTAAAAGGAATGACACTGTATAAAACTGATATAATATAAATGAGAGCAAATTCAGACCCCAAGGATCACATCTAAAAAATAATATATGTCGCAATATGTACTCAGTAGTTTATCTGTAACAAGTTCTTAGATCCCTCACCAGACCCCTCCTTTCTTCAATTACTAACTCAACTTACTTACTTTCTGCATCCCTGGTTTCTTTACACACATTTTCTAGCATATTTGTTCTACTAATAAAGTTCCTCCACCAGCTCTACCAGTAGGTTTGATAACTACTGGACTGGATAAATCTCTGGCAATAAGTTATCCATTATCCATCATAAATCATAAATCTTTCCCTTGAAGCTGGCTGAACTAAGTCCTCTTAATGGCAAACACATTTATTTTTCTTTCTCCTAAAAGGATTAGAAAACATAAAGAAGTAGCTGATTGAAGTTCGGCAAGTCTCACTCTTGACTGGTGTCCATCACACAGCAAAAAGAACATTGTTGCTAGGAAACACGACTGGGAATCCTTTGACTTCAATGGGATCTATGGAGCCAGTGGGGAACACCCACATGCATGTCACTGAATGAGTCGGGTCCAAGTGTCTATGTAATAAGAGTGGTCTCTCGTACATCTTCATTGTAATTCCAGTTTCCATAGCAACCAAGCTAGCAATGCTTCCACACCTGAGGCCAGATTTCCAGCTGGTGTAAATGAGCATAGCTCCATATACACTAGCTGAGGATCTGGCTCTTCATTTTTGTTTTCTGTTTTGTGTCCCACGTTGCTCTGTAAAGTGATTCCTCAAATGTGTATTGTCATAAGCTAGTAAACTGTCCAAAATTAAGAAAAAGCTTAGGGCTTGCTTCTCCTTTCTCTTTCACCGTTGTAAATCAGAAATAACTTAACCGAAGTCAATGAAATAACAGTACTTAGCATACCGGTGGTGAAGGAGTACAATTTTGTCGTTAGTCTCTTTCTATAAACAAACAAACACATAAATAAAGGCTGCAACCGCTCCTATGATAGGTCTGCACTGCAGCTGGGAGTGTGCTTCCAGTGTGGGAAGACAGATGTGAAATCTCTGCTTGAGCTAGTGCACTAAAAATAAAAGTGTAACCATGGGTAGCATGGGTAGCAGCTTGGGCCAGCCAATTGAGGACATACCCAGGGCATCCAAGTGGATTTGTACTCAGGTGGCTAGTCTGAGCTGCCCCCCATCCTATCCTGACTACGCTGCTATTTTTAACATGGTAGTTCAAGCGCACCTAGCACGTCTGTGTACCTGCACTGGAAAGCACACTCCCAGCTGCAGTGTAGACCTACCATTTATACATTTCATTATCATAGACTCCACTTTTTTTAACCTGGTTCATCGGCCAAACTTAAGTTGCATGTTTCTACTAATAACTCTTTAGAGGTTAATGCAATGGTTTTCAATCTGTTTCCATTTGAAGACCCCTAACAATTATTAATTGAGGTGTGAACCCCTTTGGAAATCTTAGACTTAGTCTGAAGACTGCCAGGTTTCCATGAACCACAGGTTGAAAATCACTGGGTTAATGCTACTCCAATATCCCTCCCATATTAACTATAAAAAAAAAAGAAGTCAATTGGCAAGAGTGATCACTTACAAGATATTCAGCATTTCAAAATCCATTTCCCCTCCATAGATAGGAAAATCTAATTTAATCAATAGCAACCATAATATATGAGTAGAAAAAAATTCACCCCATACCGAACATTTAAACATGGGATCCTATTGACAAGAGTGATATGGTGGGATACCCAGTAGCTGCAGTGTCCAACATTTGATGGAAAATTTTAATAAATTAACAACTTCAATCAGAAAGACTATATAAGAGGTAAATAAATTATAAAGGAGAGAAAAACAGCTATAAAAGAAAGATAATTAGGAAGATAATGCCAATCCATAATCCCAATGAAAAAAATTGCCTGACTAATTTATATTAGCATTTAATTACAATTATTGGTTAATGTTTGTTTGATGTCATACCTGACCTCAAGGAAGTCCCCTAGATCACTGGTTCTCAACCAGGGGTACATGTAACCTTGGGGGTATGCAAAGGTCTTCCAAGGGGGTACATCAACTCATCTAGATATTTGCCTAGTTTTACAACAGGCTACATAAAAAGAATTAGCGAATTCTGTACAAACTAAAATTTCATATAGACAATGACTTGTTTATACTGCTCTATATATACTATACACTGAAATGTAAGTTCAATATTTATATTCCAATTGATTTATTTTATAATTGTATGGTAAAAATGAGAAAGTCAGCAATTTTTCAGTAATACCATGCTGTGATATTTTTGTATTCTTATGTCTGATTTTGTAAGCAAGTAGTTTTTAAGTGAGGTGAAAGTTGTGGGTACGCAAGACAAACCAGACTCCTGAAAGGGGTACAGTAGCCTGGAAAGGTTGAGGGCCACTATCCTAGAGGCTCCACAGGTAAGGTTCACAGATTCGTAGATTATAAGGGCAGGAGGGACTATTAGATCACTACTCTGACCTCTTGTGTAATGCAGGCAAGGGAATTTCACCCAGTTACTCCTATTCTGAGCCCAGTCAGAGGATTATTAGTAAGACTGGGTTGGGTTGAATGAGGACCAATCCTGCGAATGCTAATGCCCAGCACATATTCAGATACTGTCTCTTGCCCAACACTGTTCTCACAGGCAGGCCCTATCTGTTCTGCCCATGTGCATATTGTCCTCACCATCTGTGGCCCTGTGTCCGAGGTGCAGATTCTCAGTGCTAGAAGGCAGGTAAGTGAGTGAATGTGAAACAGCTAATGCTGAGGGCCACCACCTTCTCCTCTTCCCCTCTCTTAGATCCGCTCCCTGCCCCATAGTGCTGCGGTGAGAGGCATAGGGAGGGTGAGGAAGCAGCAGCTGTATCATTGAGAGGAGGTGCACAAGAGGAAGGATCCTTGGCTATCTGCTCAGCAGTCCAAAGTATAGCCCTTGTAGCCAGGAAGAGGATCAGCTGTGGAAACTTTCCTTGCAGCTTCCTGACCTTTTTGAGTGACATTTCAGCTAGCATGAGTGACAGGAGCAGGGGCAAACAGGTGACTATCACTCTTGTTGCAGGACTCTGGGTACAGCAGGCTTGCAAATATTATTGATACTGATAATCCACTCAAGTGTAGAAGAGGACCATGCACCACTGCAACCACACTTATTGATTGTGTTATGGGTAAAAGAGATACTTAAGTGGTGCACGGCGCCTTGTGTAGGCCTTCACTGAGGTAAATTGAGCTTAGTCTCTTGCTCTCATGCCAAGCGTAAGTCTCACTTCTTTCTTTTACAAATAAAAATGATATAGTCTTAGACAGAATGAATCAGCTGGAAACTACCTACATTCCCACTATGTTATATCTCTGACGGCAAAACAAGCCTGTTGAGGAGCTGAACAGACAATAAACATGTCTTGTTTGATGCCTGCAGCCACTGCTTAATGTTGGTGCAGACTTAAACAGGGTCTGGGTTACATCTGACACATGCCTCCAGACACCACATGCTACCGGCACAGACCTCACGTTTAAAAGAGAAAGAGCACCTACATAGGGTCTGCTTCATGTCCACATGCTTTCAACTTCTCTATTGTGCCTGTGTCCTTGCAATTTCTTCCCTTAACCTGTAGGTAGAGCTAGTGGGCAGATACACAGGCACACACCCACACTGAATCAAAGTGCTAGAAAATTCCTTTTCTCAGGCACTTCTGAGGCTGAAGGAAGACACAACAGTTGAGCTGCACCCTTCATTTCCTACTTCGTTCAAAAAGGTTAGTGACCCATAAAATGTTATTTAACAGCACGGGGCTAAGTCAGACTCATGTAGATTGCTGTAGTATTGAGGGTCAGTGAAAGAGGAAATGAGATAGCCGCGTGTTAATGTACAGTCTGAGTTTGTGAAAGGAAAACTGAACTATTCTGCTGAGGCAGCAATATCAGCTGCTTCATGGTCTCTCTCCCTTTTTTCCTCCCAGCTAATGCAAGGGGCAGAGCTGGGGGAGGGGGGCACTATTTCTCTCCTGCTTCTTGGGGGGAAGGAGGGACTCCTACATTTGGCTGAATTAATTGCCCTCAAAGATGTAAGACAGCTTCCCTTCTCCTATTAAAATTCATTTTTAAACAAAACCTATTATTTTATTTTATTTATCCTTAAACTTTTGGCCCACAGTTGGACTCTAATTAACTCTCACCTTGTTTAGTTTTTGAGAATTTCTTTTTTGCATTTGTTATGGATGTTAACCCCCATTCCTCTTTACAGCCCTTCTGGGGCACATGCCAGTTTTGTTTTGCTCTCTTACCCAGCAGATGTTTTATACTCTCTTTTGCCTTTCAGTAATGTCACCATCACCATCAACTTCTAAATATATAGGTCCACCAGGGACACAGTTCAAACTGTCAGCAGCACATATTAGCATTGGGCCCAATCCAGCAGCTTTTACTAATTCAGGCCCTGATTGTACAATAAGATCTGCATGGGCAGACTGTGACAGAGCCTCACTGACTTTTCTGGGGCTCTGCATGGATGTAAGGGTCTGCCCATGGAGCTCCAACTGCAGAATCGGGGTCTTCAGTGGAAAAACTTAATTCCTCCAAGAGCTACAGGGTTCTGCAAATTAACAGCATGCACATTACATACCATATGGTATGTGGTGCCTTTATTATAGATTCTGTCACTTCCACTGTCCTTGTCTGCAAGGCACACTAGCACATCATAACTCCTTGAAAACTGATCAGTTTCAGGAAAGGAAACATATTAGCTAGCAAAGGACTGGTGGGGAGTGTGTCACATCTTATGAGATTGAGATGCTCTTGTTCCTTGTGGTCATTTAATGTTTTAAATGTGAGGTGGAGATAAAGGTTTGTGATCATCATTTAAATTGAAGTGTTTCTAATAAGGATTACATTTAGATTCCATTACATTATTTTTGTATACCTCCTAAATAGAAAATGGTTGTTACAAACATATTAATTGAGGTTTAATTATGTAATAGATGCTTACCTGATATGACTGCTAAGCCTCGTTAAAACTGTTTGACATATTTTGAAAGTGTGGAATTTCATAGCAAATCACCAAAACATATAAGATGAAGCTTTATGTGAGAGTAAAAATAAGAGTTTATAAAGTACCATAAGCTAAGTTAAACAGACATTTAAGCAAACTAAGACAATTCCACAAAACCTTTAATATAATAATTAATTTTCACATCAGTCCTTCCTTTTATTGATCTCTATATAGTCAAATCTACATACATTAACTACAGCAATTACAGCACATGCATCGTGAGTAATTATTAGCATTTGTCAATTAAATAATAATTTGTCATAAAACCATTCCTTAGGTTCAACAACTCTGCAATAAAATATGTGTGTATTGCATAGACATTAAACATCATTAAAAAACTTCTGAACAATCATGTTCTGTAAACGGAACACTGAACATGTTAAAGAAGTTTATAATAGCTCAAAACACAAGGGTACTCTCCTTAGTACAGGTAAAGGAAGTATTTATTTCATAATAACACTTTTATCCAATATTAACTAGTTTCATCTTCAGAGTGCTTTGCAAATATTTATGAGTTGTAACTCTACCCGGTTCATAGGTGGCTGAGAAGTGCTAGCCTTATTTTGCAGGTGGGGAAACTGAGGCAAAGTGTACAATGCTCACTTTATATTTATTTTTGTTTACAAATATTTCACAGTAAAAAACAAAAGAAATAGTATTTTTCAAGTCACCTAATACAAGTACTGTGGTGCAATCTCTTTATCATTAAAATTGAACTTACAAACGTAGAATTATGTACGAAAAAATAACTGCATACAAAAACAAAACAATGTCAAACATTAGAGCCTACAAGTCCACTTATTCCTACTTCAGCCAATTGCTTAGACAAATAAGTTTGGTTACAATTTGCAGACTATAACGCTGCCCACTTCTTGTTCACAATGTCACCTGAAAGTGAGAACAGGCATTCATATGGCACTGTTGTAGCCGGTGTCGCAAGATATTTACATGCCAGAGGAACTAAAGATTCATATGTCCCTTCATGCTTCAACCACCAAACGACCATTCCAGAGGACATGCATCCAAGCTGATGGAGGGTTCTGCTCAATAACGATCCAAAGCAGAGCCGACCGAGGCATATTAATTTTCATTATCTGAGTCAGATACCACCAGCAAAAGGTTGATTTTCTTTTTTGATGGTTCGGGTTCTGTAGTTTCCACATCAGAGTGTTGCTCTTTTAAGACTTCTGAAAGTATGTGCCATGCCTCGTCCTGCTCAGATTTTGGAAGGAACTTCATATTCTTAAACCTTGAATCGAGTGCCTTCACTATCTTTAGAAATCTCACATTGGTACCTTCTTTGTGTTTTGTCAAATCTGCAGTGAAAGTGTTCTTAAAACAAACAACATGTGCTGGGTCATCATCCAAGACTGCTATAACATGAAATATATGGCAAAATGCAGGTAAAGCAGAGCAGGAGACAAATAATTCTCCCCCAAGGAGTTCAGTCACAAATTTAATTAACACTTTTTTTTTTAATGAGTATCATCAGCATGGAAGCATGTCCTCTGGAATAGTGTGAGAAACATGAAGGGGCATCCGAATGTTTAGCATATCTAGCACATAAATACCTTGCAACGCCAGCTACAAAAGTGCCATGTGAACACCTTTTCTCATTTTCATGTGACACTGTAAATAAGAAGTAGGCAGCACCATCTCCCAAAAATATAAACAAACTTGTTTGCCTTAGCGACTGGCTGACCAAGAAGTAGGACTGTGTGGACTTTAGGCTCTAAAGTTTTACATTGTTTTGTTTTTGAGTGCAGTTATGTAACAAAAAAATCTACATTTGTAAGTTACACTTTCATGTTAAAGAGATTGCTCTATGGTACTTGTATGAGGTGAATTGCAAAATACTATTTCTTTTGTTTATCATTTTTACAGTGCAAATATTTGTATTAAAATAATGTAAAGTGAGCACTGTACACTAAATTCTGTGCCAAAAATATCTAATAAATTTCAATTGGCATTCTATTGTTTAATGGTGCGATTAATCACGATTAATTTTTTGAGTTAATTGTGTGAGTTAACTGTGATTAATTGACAGCCCTAATAAATTGTATAATCAGTTGCTTGACTGCTCTTTGGTTCATTATGAAATATATTCAAGAGACCAAATAACCAATATCAGTCAGGTTTATTTCTCAAAGTCAATAACAATATAGTATAGGAAGAAAGTATACAACACCAGTTTCTGGGAAGCTGTCTCATGCAGTGTTGTTAAATTCACCTTCCAAAGTAGCTGTGCTCCCAGGGTTCAGGGGCTGGAGCGGGAGCAGATCTAGGCTGGGGGCTGGAGCATGGCTAGAGAAGCAGGGATGGGAGCATGTGGTGCTGAGGACTAGGAATGCATTGTTCAGCCAGTCCGGTGGTGCAGTTAATCAGACAGCTTCTATAAGGGCCAGCTGTGGTCATTAAGTTGCCAGGAGACTGGTTGTGGTGCAGACTAGGCCCCTAACAGTTTCTACTTTTTATTTTTGGTAGCACGGCGTGCCCCTTATTTCTTTGTTCTGAACACATGCATTCCAGGTAACAAGGATTGTGAAGGCATCTCCTAGGTTTGCACCAGGGTAGAAACACAAATACTCGTCTGTGAGAGTAGCTCCTTACCTGGGTGAGAGTAGCTTCTTACCCCTATATCCTGATCCTGACATTTCCTATCTACTTAAGTAAAAGCTTACGTCAATTAATGCAAGGTCTTATGGGATACTTTACATGGGGAGAGGTGTTATGGGATACTTGACATTGTGGGGAGAATATAATTGTTCAGAGAACATAACTTCCCAACACTGATATTAATGCTATACCAAACATATATGTATTGGCTAAAACGGCCCATCCAGGCACAGTGTAAATTTATGGCAATGGAGAACTAATTGTGTCCCTTAGCTGTTCATTTTCACACATTTTAATATCTGGCTTTTCTAAAAAGTGTAAACAATAAGTAATTCTGCTTAATTGGGCTGCGTTGAATGCATTCAACTATAACATTTTGTTTTTTAAAGATTCTTTTGTTGTTTCTGAATAATAACAAATCACTGTCTCACTGTGCTGTTATGACATTTGATTAATGTTTGGGAAGTGCTTTGAGACCTTTATATGAAAGGCACTAAAAAACTACAAAGTCTTATTATTATCCTTTTTCTGAATTCCCCCAATTTACAGGTGGCGCATAACATTTTAGGGAAAGGTTGTCAGTGTAATCCCATAGACTCCTTTAAAGAAAGTATTTCAGACATTTATTGTTAATTTCCATTTTATGTTTTTAGATTTTTCCTGGGGTCTAGTCTCTTTCATTTGGCTGAGTAATTGCAAGACAGAATGATATGTTAGATATGATGAAAATGGGGCTGCAACTGAGACTGTTACTTTTAATCTTGACACCTTGCTGATAGACTGCATTTACGGTATGGACTTTAAAGTGAGTGAAACAAGAAAGATAAAATGAGAGGGGAAAAATATAGACTATGCCAGGGATCGGCAACCTTTGGCCTGGGGCCTGTCAGGGAAATCCACTGGCGGTCCGGGATTGTTTGTTTACCTGCAGCGTCCGCAGGTTCGGCCGATTGCAGCTCCCACTGGCCGCGGTTCGCTGTTCCAGGCAAATGAGGGCTGCAGGAAGTGGCGGCCAGCACATCCCTTGGCCCGCGCTATTTCCTGCAGCCCCCATTGGCCTGGAACGGTGAACCGCAGCTAGTGGGAGCTGCAATCGGCCGAACCTGCAGACACTGCAGGTAAACAAACCATCCTGACTCACCAGCGGATTTCCTTGATGGGCTGTGTGCCAAAGGCTGCCGGTCCCTGGAATATGCCAGCCAACTCTCAGAGGTTTAGTACATGCACATGGTTTTACTAAGGAATTCTCAAGTGTACAAGAAGATCTTAATTTCTTAATTCCTTCTAGTTTGTGTGCTTTACCTCTTCTAGTGCAGGCATGCAGCGAGACGAGTCATTTATGTGGCAGAATCCACATTAAATTTATAAAAGTCAATACATGGCCAAGACAGAAGAGAAGTGTGGTAGTAGTAAATGAATGTAATCTTTCTGTATGTGTGAGTGTTTGTGTATGTGCACACACATGTGTGTGCATATAGATATACACAAAACATACAACATGAAAGATAGTTTCATCTGTATATATTTCTAAGGGAACAGCTCCTCATAGACTCATAGACTTTAAGTCAGAAGGGACCATTATGATCATCTGGTCTGACCCCCTGCATGCTGCAGGCCATAAAACCGTCCCTACCCCTTCCCTGGACTCTGCTGTTGAAGTCCCCAATCCTGTTTTTAGTGACTTCAATCGGCAGAGACCCTCCTGCTAGTGATCCCTACCCCATGCTGCGGAGGAAGGTGAAAAACCTCCAGAGGCTCAGCCAATCTACCCTGGAGGAAAATTCCTTCCC